CCTCAAATTGGGCTCATGAGCCCTTGGGTCCCAGCACTGCAAGGTGATTAACTCAAGGCAGAAGCCCAGCCCCAGCAGGGACAGTTTCTGTTACCTCTGCCTCCTGGGATCCCAAATTAGAGGTTGCCACGTCAAGTGGGAACCACAGACTTACAGTTGTTTCTGCTGCGTTTGGGGTAACAGCAGCATTTGTGGGGCTGCAGCCAGAAGCACAGAACCAGTAGGAGAGCCCACGGCCAGCAAGTCTTTTGTCCAGAACAGCGCTGAAGGCAACACTTGGGATATAGACACAGGATAACGCTTAATAGACACAACAAGCCTCGAGGCAAAGCGGGTTCCAGTCTGCAAATTTTGGAAGGGGCAAACCAGCTCCCGTTCCACCGACAGGCCTCCTGGAAAGAGTTCTGCCACACATTCCCAGGACACACTGGAGCAGATATGGAAACCAGTAAACAAAAAAAGCCAGGCAGCTGGATTTTCAGGTCTGGCCACATGTTTGGGGGAAGGAATCCACCGACTCCAGATTCCTGTGCTCCCTTTGTCTCTGTGGATAACAGGATCCCCCATCCTGGCAGGCCAGAAACCCACCGTGCAGGTGTGTCCCTTGCATGTCCAACAGGAAACCCAGCCTGACACAGAAAGTGAAACAGTTCTGGCCTTTATGATGATGAGTTCAGTTATATATGGAACTAGTGAAAAACACAAGCAGATCAAAGTAGAGCTCGCAACCTGTTATTAAACTAAGCTGAGAAGACACAAGCTTGAAAGAACTCCACACCACAGGATAATCCTATGTAATGGGGAGAGAAACCCATTCCCTTCACAGGATTTCCAGCAGCCTGCACGCTAGACAGGGCTCACACTGCTGCAGCGTACTGCCCCAGGGGCCTGCACCCCCTGCCCCATTTCGGGAGCTCCCCAGCCTGGGTCTGCCCCCAGCTCTGGGGAAGGCACCCACCCACTGCGGGTGCCCGGCCTGCAGCTCCCATGCAGCTCCTCAGAGCGGGTGCATTGCAGGTGCTTGGCCACCAGCAGCGCGAAGAACACATTTATAGCATAAAGCATCATGTGATAAGCTTTTCTTTTTGATGACAAGGCTGAAAGCTCATTAAAGCTATTATAACAGATGTTACAGGTGTAACAGAGGAGAGCCATTATTGTGTTTATGCTGTTGCAGCAATGTGTATAATTTGGCTGCTAGGACAAACGGGTTAGCATAATGATGTTTTCCAGAGGAAGACACCGATGATGTAGCTTACAGGGCTTGATGATTTGCTCATGTATCTGGGATTCCCATGGGATAAGAGATAGGATTTGATGGCTCACCAAATGCATTAAAGAATCTATCTCACTTCACCTCACTGAGTTTTGTCCGTCCTGAATTTGTCTTGCCTTGTTTCTTC